GGGGCAGGGCCCATGCACTTGGGCCATCCTCCACTGCACTCCCTGGCCACAGCAGAGAGCTGGCCTGGAAGAGGGGCAACCGGGACAGAATCCGGCACCCCAACCGGGACTACAACCCATTGTGCCGGCGCCACAAGGCGGAGGATTAGCCTATTGAGCCGCAGCGCCGGCCATCACTTTTTATTTACAAGACCAGAAGGCAGAAGTTTGAAAATTAGTGATGGGAACTGTGATAATCTGATTCCAAGATAGCCCTCAATGCTTCTTATCTGCTGATAGTCTTGCCTTTGTAAAATCCTCTCCCATATTGAATAGGACTGACCTGTATGACCAAATAGGATGTTACCGTGTCAAAGAGAATCATTTTTAAGGCTGCATTTTTTTTTCAAAAAGCCATTGTTTATGCCTTGGTCTTTTGGATCATTCATTCTGGGGGGAGAGCAGCAACTGTATCTTAAGCACACTTCAGAAACCCTATGGAGAAGTTCCTATGGTGAAGAACTGAGGCCTTCTGCCAAAAGCCGCATGAGTAAGCTATTGTGGATCCAGATCCTCTATCCCCAGTCAAACCTTCAATGTCTGTAACCGTAGTTAGTATCTTCATTACAACCTCATGATAGATCCTGACTGAGCCACCTAACCAAGCCACTCTCAAATTCCTGATCCATGAAAGTGTGGGAAAGGATATAAATGTTTTTTATTGTTTGAGACATAAATTTGGGGAGTGGGTAATTGGCTATGCAACAATATATAACTAATAAACAATAAACAACTAAGTGACAGAACCAGAATTCAAGTCCTTTTAACTCCAAAAGTTGAGCTCCCGAGAGGCTGGAAGTCTCACAATGAAATTTTTAGCAATTTTCCTTAATTGAACTATTAAAATAATTGACTCTAAAGTAAATTAAATGTGTACCCTATGTAAGAAATGGAAAATCAATTCTTTTGACTATTTGTTCAGTGGCATCTAATATTTATTTAATATTATTAATTATATTAATATTATTATTTATTTAATATTATATTTATTTAATATTATTATTTAATATTAAATATCTAATATTTATCTAATATTTAGAGTTAGATTTTTTTAGAAGATTTATTCATTTACTTGAAAGGCAGAGCAACAGAGGAAGGGGAGAGAGATCTTCCATCTGCTGGTTCATTCTCCAAATGGCTGCAGCAGCCAAGGCTGGCCCAGGCCAAAGCCAGGAGCCAGAAACTCCATCTTGGTCTACAACAAGGGTGACAAGGATCCAAGTACTTGGACAAGTTTTGCTGCCTCCCAGGCATATCAGCAGGAGCCTAAATCAGAAGTGGAATAGCTGGAACTCTGAACTGGCACTCTAATGTGTGATGCCGAGACTTTGAAAGTGGCAGCTTAACCTACTGCACCATAATGCCTACCACAAAGTTAGGTCTCGAGCACAATCACTTAGAGGTAAATGAATAGCCAAGTCTATTTTCCAGGTAGTCATTGAAAGTTTTGCTAAAGAAATCTGATTCATGTTTCAGGATGGTTTTTTTCCCAACTGTTTCTTATGTTTGAAAATTTGTTATCTATTTCTTTTTTTTCCCCCAAAGAAGCATTTTATTTAAGGAATACAAACTTCGTAGATTTCTTAAGTACAACTTCAGGAATATAGTGATTCTTCACACAATACCTGCCCTCCCACCCACACTCCCATCCCTCCTCCTCTTCCCTCTCCCATTCCCAGTCCCATTCTCCACTAAGATTCAGGAGGAATTTTTGTTATGATTTCTCATTAAATCTTTTATGTTGTGAGATATTACTATATATTATTCTATCTAATAGATTCCTTTTCCTACCCTGTAGTAGGATTTGTGTACAGAGACAAGACATCAAGACCTTTTAACAGGAAGTAGTCATTAATTATTTATGCCAGCATAAGGCCCAGGTAGAATTTCTTATCCAAAAGCCTGAGCCCAGAGCAAATAGGGGTATCTCCTTATATATGGTTTGAGCTTCTTTGTCAACTTATATGACTACATGCATACATTTGATTAGGTATTCTAATGTTACTTGGCAGCCACAGGATTTTATACAATATTGTGCATGCATGCATACATAATTACTGATGATGTTTTTTCTTTTTTTAAAAACATTTATGTATTTATTTGAAAGTCAGAGTTACACAGAGAGAGAAGGAGACTGATCAGAAGCCAGAAGCCAGGAGTTTCTGGGTCTCCCATGAGGGTGCAGGGGCCCAAGGACTTGGGCCATCTACTATTGCTTTCCCAGGTCATAGCAGAGAACTAGATCAGAAGTGGAGCAGCTGGGTCTTGAACAGGCGCCCATATGGGACAGGGACTGCAGGCAGCGGCTTAATCCACTACGCCACAGTACCGGCACCGATGATATTTTTTTCCACACATATACTGAGCTATGTGCTGTCTGGCAAGGGTTAACACCATTGCTCTGTACTGGAAAGCAGAACCTGAAATAGTTACATATAAGCTGATAATAACTACAGTTGAAGCATTCATAGGAAAGCAAATAATGACCACATTCCATTTCCAGGGCAAGTTTCTTTTTTTTGTCTGACCTTGGGGAAGCCTCTACCACAACCCTTCCTGTGAAAACATTTGGTACACAATTTTAATTTCCTAAAGAGGAAAAATTAGTGAGTTATTTCTTAATAACTAGAACTGCAAATGATATTAAGAAGCACTCTGAAGTTTTACCCAAAAAAAGTTTAAATTTCAATTTTCCAGCCGGCACCGCGGCTCACTAGGCTAATCCTCCACCTTGCGGCGCCGGCACACCAGGTTCTAGTCCCAGTCAGGGCGCCGGATTCTGTCCCGGTTGCTCCTCTTCCAGGCCAGCTCTCTGCTGTGGCCCGGAAGTGCAGTGGAGGATGGCCCAAGTACTTGGGCCCTGCACCCCATGGGAGACCAGGATAAGTAGCTGGCTCCTGCCATCGGTTCAGCGCGGTGCGCTGGCCGTAGTGCGCTGGCCGCAGCGGCCATTGGAGGGTGAACCAATGGCAAAAAGGAAGACCTTTCTCTCTGTCTCTCTCCCTCTCTCACTGTCCACTCTGCCTGTCAAAAAAAAAATTAAAAAAAAATTTCAATTTTCCTTCTTCAATTATCGTTTCAACCCCAAGAAAATAATATTTTACTGTGAAAGATTAAAACATTTCAGACTAAAGAAACAAATATTTGAATCCCTCATCCAGGTGATTCTAGTCAACAATATATACTAAAGGACATTTTGGCTTGACAGCCAAACCTCAATATTATTACAGTAAAAATGGGGCTTTTTTTTTTTTTTTGCCGGATAGAATGCTCATTTACTTAAAAACAGAACATCTATAACTACCTCTTTTAAGAATGTTCTACTTATCTCACTTAAGGCATCTCCAATTATGAGGATCTGATTTTTCAAAATATAAATCAGGAGGCAATTCTTTGTTTAATGAAAATATTATAAATAGGAAGTTTTTAGATATAGAACCTTTAGGGTTCTATTTACAAGTATTTGTTTATATCAGAATATATATTATATATGTAATAAAGCAAAATATATCTCAAAGTTAAGTATTGGTCCACATATATTATATTTCCTACTTTAAGCTTCTTATGAGAAATTCCAATTTGTCCCACTACACACACATACACATATGTATAGTACTTCCCTCATAATTTGCCTCTTTTACTATGTCTATTCTAGTAATGAAATCACCATATGTCTAATATTTCAAGCCTTCTTATTCATTTTAGAGAAGACTTCATAATTTACTTCAACCTTAAGTTGCATTTGTTTTCTTTGTTTATGGAAGCCATATACCATGTTAGCTCATGTATGTATATATATATATATATATATATCTCATCAACTCCCATAAAAAAGAATGCATATGAATTAAACTGAGATGAGGTTTTGTGTGTGTTAAAATACATATAGTATAAAATTTGCCAATAGTAATATTGAGTACATTCACAATATTGTGCAACCATCACCAATATCTAATTCCAAAACATTTTCATCAACCTGAAAGGGAGCTCTCTACCCATTAAGCAATCTACTCTCCTTTTCTCCATCCCCAAGATCCTGGGAACTATGAATCTACTTTCTGTTTCTATTGATTTGCTATTCTAGACATTTCATATAACTGGAATCCTATAATATGTGACTTTTGGTGCCTGGCATCCTTCACTTAGCATGCTTTCAGGTCTCATTCATGTAACAGTAATCTATTTTTTTTTTTGAGTAAATAAGTATTCCATTGTATGGATATGCCATGTTTTTTGTTTATCTTTTAATCAGTTGATGCACATTTGGGTTGTTTATGCATTTTGGCTGTTGCAAATAGTATTGTTATGAGCAAAACATTACATATACAGTTTCATTTGGACACCTGTTTTCAATGATTTTAGGTATATACCCAGCAGTGGAATTGCTGGGCCATGTGGTAATTAAGATGTGACATTTTACTGAACCAGTAAGTAGTCTATTTTGAGAGGTGGGAGTCATATTGTTATTTCTCTTTTGTTATGTTAACATCCTTTCTAGATTCCTACATGTCTCTAAAAATGTGATATGGGAGTTTATGCCAGTAGACTACAGGATGGCATCACTAACTCATACCCAAAATGACAACCAAACATTTTTATGCAAATTATCCACTGAAATAAATGCAACTGAAGATCCCTAACTGTAGCAAGTGCGCTGGTATACACCTTCAGAAAATGGATGTTACAGGCAAATAACCACTGTGTTTCTGTACAGTGGTGAAGTCAGATAAACCTTAGTCGATTGCCTTTGGTCTACCCACTAAACTTCTCTGTTATAGTTTCTGCATCTATAAAATGAAGATAATAATCCCTGCTTCTCCAGATTGATATAAGGAAAAGACAGTCTGGTACATGGTTGGCACTTAATAAATATTAATTCTTCTTTCCTCATATATTCTTATGCTTTTCAAATTAACTGTTTTCCAAGGTAGCAGTATTTTTCTTCTTATTTTCTCTTTCAGGTTAAAATTCAACTACCAAATACGAACCCTTCTGAAATTGAAATTGATATCCAGGAAATGGTCCTTGACCTTCGTACTCCTAATAAGTAAGTAAAACTTAGTACTGGAATAATGCATTATAATGAGTCTTAAATTGATGTCCTTTTTAAAAGCATACATAATTATTTTACATCACCCCTAAAGAATGAAGTAAAAAATTCAGCTAATAATTCAGATGTATGATTTACATAATATAAACATAAAAATGTTTGGAAATGTTTTCTACTTGAGATCTAGATTTTTCTCTGATTTGAATCCATATATTTGGAATGGGTTAATACCATCAAAACACAATACTTGGCATTGAGTTATTGTTTGTTTTATCTCTCAGAAAAATAGCTGGAGGTGAAAACTCTTTAAATTGTATTGTATGGTTTTTGGTACAGTGATGGCATAAAATAAATAATATTATTATACTTTTTGGGTGTTGTGGAGCTCTAATGTTAAATTTGATTATGTTCATATAAAAAATCAACAATGAAAGTTTTGTCATCAATTACTCAAAACAAAAATTCTAACAGCTAATTTATCACTGGAGTTCCAAGTTGTATAAATACATTAAAAATAACATAGATGATGGAATGAATCAGTTAAATATTTTGATATTTTCTTAATATGTTATTACATATGTTCAAACTTGTTTCTAAAACATAACACATACAATAGAATTGATAGAAAATGTTTCTCTTGAAACACAGATGAATCAGTCCTGTCTTTCAAAACTATCTTCAAAAAGAGGGAATTGGTGGAAGCTGGTGTGTGTCAGATAAAATATCTAAATGTTTTATTGCTTTGTTTACTTTTCATCTGCATATACAGCATGGGGCACACATTGGTCGATTGCATTAGTCCTTTCTGTGTAACTCAAACACTTTAAACTGGGTTTGGGGAGCAGGCAGTTGCTGACACATTCTCTTCCTTCCGTTATCAATACCTACAATTCTCCTTTGTGGAGTATCAAGAAAATAAAATGTAGATCCCTCCTACAAAAGACACCTGTGTGTAAACAACCCAATGTATATACATAGCTTAATCTTGATTTTTTAAATTTATTTATTTAATGAGCATAAATTTCCAAAGTACAGCTTATGGACCACAATAGCCTCCTCCCTCCCCGTATCTTCCCTCCCACCCACAACGCTCCCCTCTCCCACTCCCTCTCCCCTTCCCCTTCACATCACGATTAATTTTCAATTATCTTTATATACAGAAGATCAATTTAGCATATATTAAGTAAAGACTTCCACATTTTGCTCCCACACAGAAACACAAAGTGTAAAATACTATTTGAGTACTAGTTATAGCATTAATTAAACACCTAAGAGTAATTATGTATTAATTACAGAGTTCAACCAATATTATATTCTACTTAAATCTTGATTTTTTATAGTAGATATATTTAACCCAAAATGATGGGGACTGGCCTTGTGATGTAGCAGGTAAAGCTACCTCCTGCAACACCCCCATCCCATATGGGTGCCAATTCATGTCCCTGCTGTTCCACTTCTGATCTAGCTCCATACTAATAGCCTGGGAAAAGCAGCAGAAGATGGCTTTAGTGCCTGAGCTCCTGCTGCCCACATAGGAGACCTGGAAAGAAGCTCTTGGCTCCTGGCTTCAGCCTAGTCCAGCCCTGATCATCGCTGCCATCTGAGGAGTGAACCAGAGTCTCTTCCTCTCTCTCAGTAACTCTTTCAAACAAATAAATAAATCTTTAAAACACACACACACAAATGATACACAGGTGAATATTATGAAGTATTTTTGTTATTTACATCATTTAAAATGTATTATCACAAAACACCCTCATGTTATAAAAATTACATACACCATTCCTACCACTTACTTCAAAGCTAATTTTGATATCGTACAACACTATGTTTATCCACTGCAAGAAAGATTTAAGAGAAGATGTTTTGTTCATGCATCTATGTGGCCAAACAAGTGAATTTATTTTAACCGAAATGACCAATAATTTCAGTTTAAAATAGTCAGTGAGTATTGTACCTTTCATTGTTTTTCCATTGACACATTTACTCTTTCACACAACCTTTGCAAGGGAAGTTGGTTAAATGAACTGTCAATCTTCTGTGATATTTGCACGCTTGTTAAAAACACACACATATCTACACACCACGGAGTTAATTTCCGTTTCCCTAGCACTGCTCACTGTCTCCATCAATCTTTAGGCAGCTACTCTAGCTATGCTGTCATTCCAGATATATATCAGGATATACTAAATGAAGTCTCACAGAGAAGTATTTTTCCACATAGAACTTGGGCTGCAGTAGGTTGCTTGTATACTGTACTTATTTATATTTAATAAATAACATAAAACTAAAATATTATTCATACTGTACTTATATATTAAATACTCAGGGCAGAGAAGTACTCTCTCTTAAGAAAAATTCCTTAATTAACATAGAAGACTGAAGATAGAATTAAAGTTTTCACCACTTTTTCTAAATACTTGAGCATCCTTTACAGCCATGCTATTGTCTGAGACTGTTATTATCAGAAATGTGTCTTGTTTTTGAATTTATTGATATTCACATCTACTTTCTTCAGCTTCTAACTTTGACATCCTACAACACTGTGTTTATCCATCCATGAAAGATTTAAGAGGATGTTCTGTTCATGTATCTATAAGGCAGAGCAGGTGGATTTATTTTAAATGAGTTGATTAGTAATTTAAGTCAAACAATGGTCAAATGCATTAGAATTATCCATAAAATACAAATATCCAGCATTGCATAACCAAAACAAATAACTAAGTTTATTTGAAATCTTCTTTTTTTTTTTTTTTTCACTTGATTGTAGATTCCCAACATGTAGTGGTGAGGAATATCTGGGCCACTGACCATATAAAGCTTGTGAAATCATTTGGTCTGGCCCTGCCAAGATAACTGCAGGCAGGAGTTGAAACTCAATAAACCTATAGCAGGATAAATTTTAAGTTGATAATTTTGTATGGCCCATGAATGATGTTATAAATATCCAAATGGTCATTGGCAAAAAAAAAAAAAGGTTCCCTACCCCTGACAGTAGATGAAAAGGAGGAAAGATGGAGGAAATTGGGTTCTTTCCCAAAATCTTTGTATTAACATGAAGTTTCATTATTTTTCCAAGTGAATTCCAAGAATATTATAAATTAGTACCTCAAATATGAGAAACAAAAACACAACAGAGAAATATGTTAATTTTCTTATTAAATGATGCTTTAGATTATTCACCCCTTTGCTATAGTACTTCAATTTCACTTGAGAGTTGACTGATGTTTAATATGTTTTTTAAAAAGTTTTCTAAATAGAATAATTGAATTGTAGCTCAGGAGCTATTTCTGCACATGCTTTGAAAACTGTTATATCTCTTAGAGGAAACCTTATAAAAAGTCATGTAATTTTGTTAACTACATAAAAAAAAGAATTTGTGAGTATACATAAAACAAAGTTTTCCTTTATTTAACTATTTTGCAAGCAACATCAACTAAAACTTTCTAATATAAATGTAAGCATTGTTGGCCGGCGCCTCGGCTCACTAGGCTAATCCTCCGCCTTTCGGCGCCAGCACCCCGGGTTCTAGTCCCGGTCGGGTCGCCGGATTCTGTCCTGGTTGCCCCTCTTCTAGGCCAGTTCTCTGCTGTGGCCCGGAAGTGCACTGGAGGATGGCCCAAGTGCATGTGCCCTGCACCCCATGGGAGACCAGGATAAGTACCTGGCTCCTGCCATCGGATCAGCACGGTGCGCGGGCCACAGCGCGCAGGCCGCAGCGGCCATTGGAGGGTGAACCAATGGCAAAGGAAGACCTTTCTCTCTGTTTCTCTCTCTCACTGTCCACTCTGCCTGTCAAAAAAAAAAAAAGTATTTTTGAACTTGAGTTTACTGCAAAATTATTTTTATTTTTACTTTCATAAACTATTACTTGCATTTAAATACTTTCTAATGAAAATTAACACTGGATTAATATTTTTATCAGTGCCTAAACTGTAACTACCAAAAAGTAAATATATTTGATTATTCATATTTTATAGTACAAATGGATGGAAATTATTTAAATGTCATTTTTTGATGACCTGAATATTTACTTTCCATTTATTTATTTGTTCACTCAACACAGATTTATAAAGTCTTCTGCTAGGCACTGGGGGAGCAGTAAGATAAGATACAGTGTTATCCTTCAATGAACTGAACATGGGTAACTACTTATAAAGTTTTTGTTTAAATATAAATCTCAATACAGATATTAGACAGCAAAACAGACTAGACAAAAATACTCCCCTTCTTGTAAGAGCCTAAATAAGTTGCACAGTTATATTGTTCAAAATTTTAGTATGTGAAGCCATACTACTCAGGACTAGACAGAAATGCAGGGATAGATGGATCATTCCAATGGCCATTAACTGTCTCTTTTGAATTTATTTCTCTCTGGACAGAGAAGTGCACATTATCATTGGAACTCCTTCTTTGGTTGATTTATAGTTGTCTTTTAGTGCAATGAAGCTACTACATGAAGCTTTACTTTGTTTTTAAAGTAAATATATTATCATTTATAGAATAAGAGATAAAGAAAATCTAACTCTAACACAACCTATATTGTAAACAGCTTTAAAGGATGAAGTGTCTTTCATACCTCCTCTTTCTTGACATGCAAGATTTTACAGGCTACATTAAAACACTTTGCCATTTAATTATTATGGTATTGGAAGCTATTTCTCCTTCGCCATCTGGAGTGGAACAGGGTCACAGAAAATTTCTCCTTTAGGTTCAAGAAATATGTAATAAATACTTTCCCAGGCCTCTGAACTTTGACCTTTGCAAATGCATAAAGATGGAATTGATTTTCAAGGGCTTTCTTTTAAAAAACTTGCTCTCTATTCAAGTACCCAAGAAATGTCCCTAAAAAATATCAGATTCCTTTACTGATTTGTATCTAAAAGAGCTTTTCTGTTCATCTTTTATAAAGATACTCAGGCCTTCTCTACTGAGAATTTGATGTAACAAGTGTTTCATGCATTTAATTTTCTTCAGATACCAGCATATGCTGACCCCATGTATAATTCAGATTCATACCTCTGTGACAGGCTTATAGATGTCTCATCCTGGCAATGCATCTAAAGCATACAACTATCCAGCATCTGAACCATACATTGCAATATAAACCCAGCAATCTATCATGGGGAGCTTTTGTCAGTGTGTAGTAGAAAGAATGAGAAGCAAGCAGAGAGAAGCACTTTCATTGATCTAGTACTAAAGTCATTCCAGGCCTGAGTTTCAAAAGCTACACCTGTAGTAGCGATTCAGCCTAAAATTGTGTTAGCACAAATGTTATAGAACCATTCTGGTTTTCAAATTTGTGTCAGTCAGTCAAATTTCAGCTATTCATAAGTATAACTGACAACACATCTGTCCAGCAAGCTTGAAGTTGCTTGCTTCTATTTCTATGCCTATGCACATGAGGCTATGTTTATACAATGCAAAATGAGGTCAATTCAGAAAAAAGAGGGAGAATCAAAACAACTGCTTGAATATTTAAGGCCAAAAACCTTGTATACTATTTGTGTTATTCAAGCATATTTTTGTCCAGTATTTATATTGTCTAAATATCTGGGATTTTCTTGTTTCTCATATTCTAGTGGTACATGTTGCTTTCTATTGCCTTATTGAAGATGATACATCATTTTAGAAAGCTAATTCTAGGTTTTTATTTTATTTTAGGAAGCTGTTGTTAACCCTTCCCTATCCTGTGGAATGCAACAGTGCCAAAGCATCCTATGTCCCGGAGACTGAGACTCTCGAAATTACCGTAACTCTGAAAAGAGAGTTTGATTTTCTTAATCTTTTCTGAAATTACATGGATAAGGAGAAAAAATGGAAACATGGCACTGATTAAACTTTAAAACTTTGAAGAAGTGTTAGTTTTGTGTATTCTGTTTACTACTATGACATATTTTGGAAAGGACCAAAACTCAATGCTATTGATATTCTGATCATTTACAGTCACTTCTATTACTCTGATAGAAAATACTATTTCCTCATACCAACAAGCTATTCCATTGTTACGCTGACAGCTGAATAGAATACGTATAGGCTAACCAATTAGATTACTACCTGATCAATTACATGACTGAATTATGATCAGGAAATGGTTGGTTCACTTATTTCAGTAGTCTGAAGAACTTAACAAAATTACACCATAATACAATCAGTTGTATAGTAATTGGTCATAATTGTCACCAGAAAAAAATGTATTTGGTTGCTTTTCCATTAATTTTGATCATATGATTTAGAATGTTCATAGTTTAGGCTTTCCTTGTTTTCTGGACTATATACATAACAAAAGGCTATAAATCACTTGATGCATCATACTAACCACATGTTTATTTGAGTAACAAATACTCTTGAGCACGTAGTATCATTTGGCTTTCAGTGCTTGAATCTAGTAAGTTTACATTATTTTCTTTTTGTGCATTAATAATCACTAACAATGCCTTTTGAGATACTGTGTTTATACTTAGTCTATTGAAATCCTTGACATTTAAAAGGAATATAAAGAAAAGCATGGAGGTGGGGGGCGGCGGCGCTGTGGCATAGTGGGTAAAGCCACTGCCTGCAGTGCTGGCATACCATATGGGTGCCAGTTTGAGTCTTGGCTGCTCCACTTCCAATCCAGCTCTCTGCTATGGCCTGGGAAAGCAGTGGAAGATGGCCCAAGTGCTTGGGTCCCCGCACCCAAGTGGAAGACTCGGAAAAAACTCCTGGCTCCTGGCTTCAGATCGGCGCAGCTCCAACCATTGCCGCCAACTGGGGAGTGAAGCAGTGGATGGAAGACATCTTTTTCTGCCTCTCCTCTCTCTGTGTAACTCTGACTTTCAAATAAATAAATAAATATTTTCTAAAAAAAAAAAAAAGAAAAGCATGGTACATCTACAAATCCCATTCTCTCTAATTTCCTATCTTTCTTCTTATAATTGGATGCATCTATTTTTATGAATTGTGCCAATGCCCCCTCTATGCCTCATCTATGCTATTATAAACATTTATTTCATATTTATGAATAAATTATGTTTTAATAATGGTTTTACTTGACCTCAAATATCATTGTAGAACTGTAGAGGTACCTGGTAGTAATTTCTGGGGAAAAAAAGTTCATCATGTTGACGTAAAATATTAGGAAACAAATATACAAGTAGATATTTTCTAGAGTAAATTATGTTTATAATTACCAAGCCTCTAGTTTGTGACTAGGGAAAATACTGAGATTGCAGAAAGGTGGTTGTGTTAAAATAATGAACTCTTGTAGAGAATTTGACATTTAAATTACCACCATGACTTTCTTGTGTGGGGGCAATAGTTGAGGATGGGATTAACTGAAAGAAAACACAGTGCAGTATATATGCATGTGTTCGTAGTGTTACAGGATCAAAATTGTCCTACTTTGCTTTCTTAGCATCAATCTTTAAGGCTGTATTTTAAGAATTTAAGCTTTCATCCTAAAACGTAAACATTGGGGCCAGTCTAAGCAATAGCCAATATTTTTCTTCTCTGGAGAGCAACAATGAGTCAGTGGAAAATGTATGTCTTTTTCCTATGTACTGGCCCTAATTACAAAGGCCATTATTACTCAAGCTGACTGAATGTGTACAAGCTGTCCCTGGAAGAGAAGATAGAGCATATCCAGGCCAACTGGAATTGGGCTTTGGTTAGGTGGTGCTGTATCAATTATATAAGGTAACAGAGTTTCAAGAACAATGAAATATGATCCAGTAATTTATACTCATCTAGAAATCATCCTACTTCACTGTCCTTGGCCTTAGAAGTAACAACTGCTGTAGCTATACTGTTTTGTTTTTAAGCTAATTCACAGGACTTCCTTCCTTTAAAGAAGAATAGTTCACTAAGACAAATGTAGAAAAGATAATGGAAAAGGAAATTTATTATCTCAGCATTCTCCAATGACTCTTAGCCATTACCAGAACTGAAGGTTAAAAGCACAAATGTAGCATAACACAACCCACATATGCTTCTCCTTCATGAACTTCTCTACCTCAGTTTTATTCTGTACTCTCTGGTAGTTTTTGTGGAGATTCAGTAACTCATTCATTCATTCCTCATTTGTTCATTCTTCCAACAAATATCCACTGAGTGCTTGCCATATGTTTGGCATTGTTATTAGGTGCTGGGGGTATAGTAGTAAGAAAACTAGGTGCAGTCCCTGCCCTCATTGAGCAGGCAGTTGCGCAATGTAGACAAACAACAGTCAAGTAAACATATACACATATATTTTCAATTTATTATTACTGCTATGAAGCAAAAGAATGAGTGCTTTGGGAGCACCTATCAGAGAACCCAAACTTAGTCTAGGGAAGAGCAAAGACTTGCCTAAGGATTTAACACTTCAGCTACAAAATGAATACTCTAAGATACAAGTAAAGAGAGTGTGGAGAATGGGGATGGAAAGCAGTAAGGTTTCTAGGTGCCAGTCAGTAGCAAATGTGAAGATGCAAGATGGAAGGAGCTTAATAAAAATGAGTTTGTGGGCTGGCACTGTGGCGTAGTAGGTAAAGCAGTCACTTGCCATGCCCACCTGCCATATGGGCACCGATTGGAGTCCTGGCTGCTCCACTTCCAACCCAGCTCCCTGCTAATAAGCCTGGAAAAGCGGCAAAAGATGACCAAGTTACTTGGACCCCTGTACCTATGTGGGAAACCTGAAAGAAGCCCCTGGCTCCTGGCTTTGGATTAGCTCAGCTCCAGCCATTGCAGCCATTTGGGGGGTGAACCAGCAGAGGGGAGACCTCTCTCTCTCTCTCTCTCTGCCTCTGCCTTTCAAATAAATAAAAAAATAAATCTTAAATGAGTTTGAAAACCAGTGTAGCTAGAATAGAGGGAACATAGTGGAGTGTGACTGGAGGTAAGGTTGGTTATGTAGGCTACAACAATGTCCTGTAGAATCATGTAGGCCATAAGTTCAGAATTTGGATTTTGTTTTAAGTGCTTGGGGAAGAGAATATATTAGGAAGCAAGAATGGAAAAGGGGAGACCAACTATTGTAATACACCAGGCAATTTACATGTTTATATAAATAAAATTCATTGTTGATACTTTTCTAATTAGAAAGAAAATACATGCTGACATGTTATAAGCAGGAAGCTTTAACAGCATACAAAAACTTTTAAAAATAGAACTAAAAAGTCTCTGTAAGCCAATGAACCAAAAATAACCACTCATAATTTTTATTGCTGCTTTCCAACCTTTTTTCACCCCAATGCATAACATACATATTATTTTTCCCAAATGAGTAATATTGCACAAACAGGTTTTATAACCTACTTTTAATTCCCAAGTGTATTCTTTAATTTTGTTTTTGTTCCTGAATTATAATTTTGTTGCATTGTGGTGGAAGAGTGTGATACAGATCTATGTGTATTTTAAAAGAATGAGCTATTCTGTAATTGGTACAGAATTATATAAATATATTATCAATTTAAGCTTTTTTAAAAATTGTGTTGTTCAAATCTTCTACATTCTTGTTATTTTTTTAGTTGGCTTTATACAAAGACGTGTATTAAAACGTGCCACCCATTATAGATTTTTCAGTTCCTCCTATAATTCCATCAATTTTTGCTTTATATATTTTGAGGCTATATTTTTAGATGCAGAATTTGAATTGTTATATCTTCCCTTTATCAATTCACTGTGATGCTCTTTATCCCCAATAATATTTGTTGTTTTAACCTATGTTTTGCTTAACATTGACATAGCTGCATCACTTTGGTTACTATTTTTCTGACATATCTTTTTCTATTGCTTTCCATGCTTTCTACATTTTACATAAGACTTCTTACAAATAGCATGTAATTAAATTTTGTACTTTTAAAAACCAACCAAGATTTTGTCTTTAAACACACAAGTTTCAGTCCAGTTCACTTATTTTGATAAATTATATACTTTATTTATATCATTTTGTCTTATTTATCATCTTGTCTTTATATCATCTTCTCTCTTATTTTGCCTTTTCTACACTTTTTCCTCCTTCATTGTCTTTTTCCCTCACTGGTCAATTGTTTAAGGTCTTTTTTTTCTTCCAGTGGTTTGAAAGTTGCATATTCTTTCTTTTTTAACTCAAATATCTAGTTTCTTGGTAGTTCTACCCTCCCTTAAAACAAGTTAAGGGCTCAGTTTTAATACAACAATGCCTCTCCCACTTTGTTTTTGTGTACAAAAATTATTTATCATCATCATTGTTTTCTACAGTTAATGTTTATTTAGATTTATCCACATGTTTATCAATATCTTTGCTCACCATTTTTTTCCACATTAGTACTTTCTTTCTGAAGTACATACCTTAATATTTCCCACAGCAAGAACTTGTGGGTTTTTGATTCTCTCAGTTCATTTCTAGAAGTATTTTTATTGCCCTCACTCTTGGATGATAATTTAGCTGAATTTAGAAATCTAGGTTGGGGCAAGCATTTACAATTGCATTTAAGACACCAGTTAGGATGCCCACATCCCATATCAAAGTTCCTGGACTTGAGTCCCAGCTCCACTTCCAGTTCCACCTTCCTGCTAATGTGTACTCTGGGAGAGAAAAGGTGATGGCTCAAGTGCTTGAGTCCCTGCCACTACAGAGCAGAGACCCAGATGGAGTTCCCAGCTCCTGTTGTGGGCATTTAGGGAGTGAGTGAGCCAGCAATGAGAGATTCATTCTCTCTCTCCCCCATCCCCTTTACCTCCCACCCTCCCTTCCCCTCCCTCCCTTTCAAATACATTTTTAAAAATTTTAAAAAGAAATCTATATTGACAGTTATTTCCCATCATAACTTTGAAAATATTATTTATCTGTGTTCTGGCCTAAACTGTTGTAATTTAGAAGTCTGTTTTCTATTTCATTATTGTTCATTTGCAGGTAATTTTTCTTTTGTCTCTGGTAGTTTTAAAGATTTTTCTCTGTGTTTTGGTGTTCTACAATGTTTTTTAAGGTTTATTTTATTTATTTGAAAGACAGAGTTACAGAGAGGGTGAGAGACTGAGACAGAGATTTTACCCAGATGGCTGCCACAGCCAGAGCTGGGCCAGGCCAAAGCCAGGAGCTGGAACTCCATCTGGATCTCCTAAATGGGTGACAGGAGTCCTTGTACTCAGGCAATCATCCACTGCCTTCTCAGGCACATTAATAAGAAGATGAAGCAGCCAGGACTAGAACCAGCATTCTGATAGTGGCATTGCAGGGGTGGTACTTGATCAGTGTGCCACAATGTTGGGACCTAGTGTTCTGCAATTTGACTGTGGTAGGTTTAAATTTAGATTTATTTTTCTTGCTTGGCACTTGTGCTTCTCAAATCTTTCATCAATCCTGGAAAATTCTCAGCCCTTCTCCCTTTGAATGTTGCCTTACTCCCATTTTCTGCTTTCTTCTTCTGGAATTCCTATTAAATGAAAGTTGAACCTTTCAATCAGTTTTCTTTTCAACTCTGGCATCTTAAAGTTTCCCCCTTTTTAAAAAATATCCTTTTTCTTTTCTTTTTATTTTTATTTTAGAGATTGTCTTCCCACTTCTTCAATGAAAGCCTTGTCTCCAGGGACAGAGAGGACAACATTATTATTATTTGGCCATTTTTAAAGACTTTATTTATTTATTTATTTGAAAGGCAGAGTTACAGAGGGAAGGAGGGAGGGCCAGAGGGAGAGAGAGAGAGAGAGAGAAATCTTCCATCCGCTGGTTCACTCTCCAAATGGCTGCAACAGCCAGAGCTGGACCAATCTGAAGCCAAGAACCAGGAGCTTCTTCCGGGTCTCTCAAGTGGGTGCAGGGGCCCCAGCATGTGGGCCATCTTCTACTGCTTTCCCTAGGCTCATTAGCAAGGAGCTGGATCGGAAGTGGAGTAGCTAGGACTTGGGATGCCAGCACTGCAGATAGCAACTTAACCTGTTACACCAGAGTGCCAGCCCCTTTTTTGGCCATTTTTAAAAGCTTATTTTACTTTTTCAAATAAATTTTAAAATTTT